TGTATTACCAGTATCAATGTTTCTCGACAGGAAAACAATTAGCCTATTCTAGAAAATAAAGTAACTTTTTTTTTCTAGCCTACGAAAAACTTCTATTTGCAATCAATCACCTAAACAGGAACACAAGAAGTTAAAAGTTAAATTTTGCCGAAAGATTTAATGGGCGTTACGTTGAAAACTTTTTTGTTTCAAGACCAATAAGAATTTCGAACAGGTACATGATGATACTTTAAAGCCGGGTCCGAATTTTTACCAGACTGAAATTTTACCAGAAAAGTAATAACATGGACATTTTACCAGACTCGATAAACAAATTTGGTTGACAGATGTATTGACGCCATTTAGTCTGGTTAAAAACAATGATTTTACACAGGTTCACAGGTTGTCGACCAGTTCTTTCTTGGACGTCCATTTCGTCATTCCATAAAGGATGCGTCATATTTTTCAGACGCCCATAGTTTGTCTAGTCTTGAATTGAAAACGTGTACACTCTCGGTTAATATTACTTTTTCGAGGAACGAGTTCCAGTCGTTGATGGCTGCAACTGTAAAAAAGTTTTGTCTAGCAGTAGATCTGGTCTTCTTGCTCACAACCTTGAAAAGGTTTCTTCTTGTGTCGCTTTCGTTGATTGTAAAAAATCTTTCAGGCGCTGCTGTATCGTATAGACCGTTCAGAATTTTGAAGACTTCAATCATTCTACCGCGTTTGCGTCTATACTCGAGTTTTGGTAGTTTCAAAATCTGAAGTCGTTTCAAGTAGCTGTATTTTCGTATACCTGGAATAAGTTTCGTTGCGCGTCGCTGAACATTTTCAATCGTAATTTTGTCTTTTTTAAGGTATGGATACCATGCCCGATTTGCATACACCAGATGTGTTCTTACTAAGGCTTTGTACAGGGTCGTTAGATTTTCAGAGGTAAGGCTCACGAAACTTTTCCTAATTATCGCGACTATACTGTTTGACACTTTCTTCTTTTTGGCGATGTGCTCACGGTATTGTAATCTTGAATCAACGATAACTCCCAGATCTTTCTCTGATTCAACTTTGCTCAGTTGTTTTCCGCCATTTAAGGTATAGTTCTATTCAGATTGTTTCGTTCTTCCCGTTAGGGTGAGTGTATGACATTTTGTCAGATTGAACTTCATTAAACTGCTTTTAGCCAATTTGGAAATTTCATTCAGGTCAAATTGTAGTTTTTCCTCTTGAATCTAATCAGTAATTGATCTGAATATTTTGGCGTCATCTGCGTATAGAAGCATAGGGGATGTAATGCCATCCGTCATCGAGTTGATGTATAGCAAAAAAAGTATTGGCCCCGGACAGATCCTTGTGGGACTCCGCTGCCCACTCCGAAAAGCTTTCGTTTACCACTACCCGTTGGCTGCTATCCGTTAAAAATTCTGTGATCCAGTTTAAAGTTTGCCCTTTGATCCCATATTTGGGTATTGTGTTCAATAGTTTTTGTGGGGAACGCTATCAAAAGCTTTTTGGAAGTCAATGTACACTATTTCTACCTCATAACCCTTGTCCAGTTTCGCAGTTCAGTCGTCGAGCGCTTTTAATAACTGGAGTGTCGTTGGTCGACCTGGTAAGAAAGCATACTGTTTGTCTGATAAGATGTTGTTTTGTCTCAAAAAGTCAAACAAGTGTCTTCATATCACTTTTTCCATTATTTTGCAACAGATTGATGTGAGGCCAACAGGTCTCTAATTGTTTGGGTCACATTTTGCGTCTTTTTTGTGAATCACTGTTATATTTGCGCATTTCCAATCTTCGGGTATTTCTCCCTTATCCCAGGAGTTTTGCTTTAAAGTACACAGGAATTCAGCTAATTCATATCGGCATTCGTTCAAAATCTTTGGGTGAATTTTGTCAGCTCCCATCGATTTGGTGGTGTCCAACGCTGCAAGTTCATGTAGTATTACCTCTTTAGAGAGATATAGATCATCTGATATTTGCTGCTCTTGGAGATCCAATAAATCCATGCTGCCAGGTGTTTCTATGGTGAAAATTGAATTGAAGAAATCAGACAGCTCAGTCGTTTTCTCCCTGTTGGTCTTTGCCCAATTATTATCGCTAATTTTGAGTGCAGGTATCGTCTCAGTGGATTGAATTTTTTTGTTTACATAGTTCCAAAACTTTTTAGTTTGCTGTTTTATGCTTTTTGATATATCTTCTTCATGTATTTGAACACAGTTCCGTGTCAGTTTCCTGACTTTGTTTCGAGCCTTCGTATATTTTTCATAGTTTTTTCTTGTTTTATTTCTCCTGACATCTCTCTAATTTTTTTGTTTTTTTACGAACTGCATCTCTAACTTCGGGTCTCATTGGCATTTTGTTTTGCTTTAAATGCAATTTAATTTTAGGGATGAACTTCTTAACAGCACGATTAAGAGTGCTTTTAAATTTTTCCCAGTTTTGCTCTAGCGTTTGCGATTCTTCAGACATTATTTTGGTGTTTAAATCTGATCGGAGTTCCACGTAGCTCCCTTTATTGTAATTCGGTCTCTCTTTACATCGCTTTGTTGTCTAGAGATCAAATTTTGCTTAGATTAGTGTGTGATTACCCTTACCGAGCGGGAAGATGTATTCTATGCTAGTTGGTTCCAGGGTTTTGTCGGCTAGCATGAGATCTTGTAGTGATGGTTTGTTGTTTTTTGCACCCGCGTTGGTCTGTCAATGTGTTGATTGAGATAAGAATCTTTTACAGCTTCGAAAAATTGGTGTTCCTTGCTGTTCTCGTCATGATTCGTGCTGATATAATGCCAATCTATATCTCTGTAATTCATGTCTCCTAGTACAATGTATCTAGAACGGTTGAATCCAATGCTTCTTAAGAAGTTGTTAAGGTTGTAGTTGTTTTCGGGGGTAGATGATGGGCTCCTATAGTTTGAAGCTATCACAACTTCTCTCTTTGTTAGATTATTGCATAAGATTTTTTACTTGCAGTTCCTCTAATCCAGATTCATCGTCTATTTCCTTGTAATCGATGTCCTTTCGAATATAAAACAACATGCCTCTCCCCTTCTCGTTTGGATTCATGTTTTTTTTTGTTTTAAATTGTAGCACTCGAGTTTGTGCCACATAATTACAGAATTCTTGGGTTTCGCTTCAGTTAGGGCAATGATGTGTGGTAACGTATTTGCTTGTTGTAGTAGTACTTGTAGTTCAATGAATTTATCAGGAGTTAATGTGTCTACATTCCCGAACCAGAGCTCACAATGTTCTCTGTTTCCGGCGTTGTTCTTTGCAATTCTTTTGTCTCTCTTTTCTATACTCTGATGATTTTGTTCCCACTTACAATGTGTATGAAGTTCCCGGGTTCCTCTGCTGTTAAGTTTTTTGCCCGTTGCACTAGAAAACGCAGATTTTCTCTTTCTTTCATGCTCCTATCAGGAATGACTCTTAGTTGTCTGATTTCGTCTTCGGCAAACTTAAGTTTTTTTTTCAAATTTTTCATCATGCATTCCGCGTCCTCCGGTGAGTCCAGAGTGATTCTCAGTGGGCGGGGCTCGCGCTGTTCTCTTGTTCAGGGGTTTTGCCTAGTCGGGTACAGTTTTTAATCTTAGTTGGTTCAATTTCTATGGTAGAGCATAGTTGCTGGATTAATGACATGTTTTCATTATATAGTTTTTTTGAGTCCCTTGGCTGATTTTCAGGGGCTTTGTGTATGATAAGATTCTTTTTCCTTCCTAAGTCTTCTTCTTCCCGTTTTTGTTCTGCTCCAGCTTCCAAAATTATGCCTTTCAGGGGTTTGGTGACCTGAGGCTCTACTTTCCAGGCATTATCTTTCACTGTGCTTGATCCCATTGTTGGCTGTGATTTGGTTTTCGTTCCATTCATGAAGTAGTAGAAGTGCTCCATTAGACTCTTCACGGAATCAACCGTCTTATCCACGTCCGGATTCATTTTTGGAGCAGTTGCACCCTTAATTAGGCTTTTTACCTCGGGTGTACACGTATCACAACACCATGTGCCTTTACTTTTACACATGAATTCGTAAACTGCCGATGGCATTTTTAAGCATTTTGCACATAAATGTTTGGAGCAGTTATCGCATTCCATTACTTGATCCATTGGATCTCCGAATTCTTTTTCACAATCAACACAAATCCAGGCATCATCGGCCTGTGATTTGTTCATATTTCTCCTAGAAAGATTACTCATTTCTACAGACTTCATCTAGGCCGCTCCGAAACAACTAAATTAAAGGTAGCTACCTTTAAAAAAGATAAACTATTCCTACTTTTTCTTGTTTTTCTTCTTTTTCTTCTTTTGAGGCCTGCTTCTCTTGGTCTTTCTTTTGCTTCTCTTCTTTGATTTTTTTTTCTGTGCAGTGGACGATATTTCTTGACGAGTGATTCAACATTTGTTAACCGCTGAAGAATCGTTTCCAGAAACTTTTTTTTCCAAGTTCGTTGAGGGATGTATTTTCCTGAGTTTTGATTGGTACCACCACTCTTTCTGTTTGCGACTTGAAATTAATTTCTTTCAGGCTGGTATTACTAGAGTATTCAATGTTCTTATTTCTGCAAAAATATGGTTCGCGTTTTCTCTTTGATAAAAAATAATCGCCCTAACTCGCCAGGTATGTTTTCTGAGCGTATTGATCAGACTTTTTCTGCTTTCTGATCGTTCAGTCTGTGTTTGGCTATTGTGTCGTTTAACACGTCGTGCCAAAGTATGATGTCTTTTGCCTCACAGAGTTTTCCCCTTTCTAAGAGAAGTTCAAGGTTCAAAAGTTTGTGGATAGAGTTGGGGTTGAGACTCAATCCTTTCGATGCAAAGCTAATGCGGGATAACACTCTCTTCAAATCGTTTGGGGCTACTTTGGTTGCTGCTTTCAGGGAGCTGATTCCAATTATAAACACCATCAATAGTCAACACTCTTCACCCACGAAGCTAGAGGCGTGGGACTTGTTATTAATGTTTTTCGATTCGGTTCTCTAGCTCAATCTATCTGAAATTACACGGTATGTGAATTTGAAATGGACAAATCTATTTAATAAGTTTATCACAACAATTACTGAAATCCACCGTTCCGGGTCACAACTGGTGGGCTTCAGAGGAGCCAGGTCTTTGATCCAGACCACAATGCAATAACTCAATTAGTATACGTTGAAATTAGTGGAAGATTTGAAATTCACGGATTCTCAACAAAGTTTTTGTGTTCTAACCGCTTCCTTTTCAAATCTTCCACTAATTTTAACTTATACTAAATGAGTTATTGCATGATGGTCTGGTAAAAGACCTGGCTCCTCTGAAGCGCACCAGTTGTGACCCGGAACGGTGGTTTTCAGTTTGCCTTCTGAGCAAAAATTATTCGCGCAATGTTCAGACTAAGCGCTTCTTCAATAAATGAGTCAGTGTCAGTTCATTACCTTTGCGCAATTTTAGTTGATATGTATATAGTCGATGATACGTGTTTTTCTATGTTTTGAAAGCATTACTTATTTATTTCAAAAAATCAATCCAGTTTCCAATTCCAGACCAATTCCTTAATTGGTCTGGAATTGGAAACTGGATTAAACACTTGTCATCTTCTTTTATCATTATCACTTCCATATCTAAAAAATTCCAAGGATTTTGACTGGAACACGTGATGAAGGGACTCCTGGCTGTAACCTCGGTTACTATGAAACTTTTGGCCTTCTGATTACCTTAAGTAAAAAAAAAAGAAAAAAAAAGAAAAAAAATTTTCCTTAATTATTTTTCAGTTCAAATTCGTACGCTTTAACTCCACAATTCCATGTTAGTTGACCAATTCCAATTCCTGATGAACCAAGTATTTGCAATAACTGATGATGACAAAATCAATTTCAAGAATATCTTTTTTACAGAAAAGCAAAAACAGTTTTTAAGAATTATTATTTTCTTTTGATGAAAGAAGATCTAACAGTAGTAGTAGTAGTAGTAGTAGTAGAGGCTTTAGGGCTCATTGGCCCAGGGGTGTCAACCCTTCAGTTTTCAGCTGGCATGAGTTTTTGGTAGGGGTTACACGATTCAAAGGAACACAGTACACGCCAGGTGCATGTGTCTAGCTGATTGTACCTGTTTTCAAAGTAGTTGAAGTAACTTTCTGTCAGTTGTTTTTTCGTCGGGTTGTCGCGAAACTGTTTGTGGAGTATATTTAAAAGTTTCGGGGCTCTCCTCCAGAAATTTTGGTCTGTTTTGCTGATGCGGTTTTTGTTGAGCTCGAATTCGCTGCATTGTCTCGTGGTGCTTTCTCTCAGTGATATTGGAATTGAATCTTCACTGACGCTGTATTTACCGTCCATGACCGATTGAAGAAACAGTATATCAAGGAGTTCGATGTACATTGAGAGTGGTAAGATCTTCAGGGTACGTAGTCTCTCTTTGTATCCGATGGAGTAGTTAAGTATCCATGTAGTAGCTTTTTGTTGAACTCTTTCGATTTCCCGCATTTCGGTTTTTGATGGGTACCATACCTGCGATGCATAGGAAATGACAGGGACGACGTAGCCTACATAGGCGTTCAATTTTGTTTCGAGATTTGCATAGCATGAGATGTTACGTTTGAGGTTGAAGAAGGCTCGCCATGCTTTACCGGTACTACGTTTAATGTTTTCGTTCCACGAGATGTTTTTTGTCATTATCACTCCTAGGTCTTTCTGGGAGTTGACAGTGCCTAGTTTCACGCCTTTTGAACTCACAGGCTCTGTATTTCTTTTAATGCGTAGTGCCTTACTTTTTCCCATATTTAGTACCATTTGGTTTTTGAGACTCCACTTTTCAATTTCCGTTCCGAGGACAATTGCTTCTTCGTAGTTCTTTGCAATTACTTTAAAGTCGTCGGCGTAGCCAAAAGAAGTGCTCGGTTTGACTGATTCTGGAAGATCGTTAACGTATATCAGGAACTTGAGCGGACCTAGTATTGAACCCTGTGGTACTCCACTTGTTACTGGCGTGACTGGAGATTTGCTTCTATCAATTTTAACACATTGTTTTCGTGCTGTTAGGTAGCTGGCTAGTAGTTCAAGGATTTTCCCGCCAATTCCCATTTTTGCAATTTTGGATATCAGTGGTTGATGTGGGACCTTGTCAAAGGCTTTACTGAAGTCTACGTATAGGACCCATAGTTCAGCGTTTTCTTTGATGTCGTTTTCCAGATAAATTTCGTTCAGAAACAACAGAAGTTGTATGATCGCTGATCTGTTTTTTCTGAAACCGAACTGTGCTGGGTGTAGTTTAGTTTCGATTGTTGGATATAATCAGTCGAAGAGTATTTTTTCAAATACCTTTGATACATTTGCCAAAAGACTGATGGGTCTGTATTGCGATATGTCTGCCTTGTTGTTTTCTTTAAAGACTGGTGTTATTTCACTGGTTTGCCATCGGCGTGGAAATGATCCTTTATTAATGCAGGTTTGAAAAATGAGCTTTAGAGATTTTGCGAGTGAGGTCGCGTGTTTCAGGATAATGTTTCCAATGTTGTCCGGACCGCATGCTTTTTTTGTTTTCAGTGATTGGAGGCATCTGGTTATTTCTTCCTCGGATAGTTTCAGGTGGTTTATTTCTGATTTTATGTAAGTTTGTTTGCCGGTTAGTTCACCTTGTTTGCTGAAAACTTGGTTGAAAAATTTGTTAAACAGAGAACATTTTTGTTCATTGTTTACTGCTGTTTCAGTTGTGTCCGGTGATTGATTAAGGAACATTTCGTCTGGTAGGGGATGCTTTTTGTGTATCGATTTCAAGTATTTCTGAAGATCAGACATGCGGCGGCTCTTGAATACTTTAGCTTCGAATATGGCTTGATCCATTTTGATTTCTTCGTTCAGGCTTTTTTCAGCTTTTTTGATTTTCAGGAGTAGCGAGAGTGAGTTTGCTTTTGAGTATTTACGCTTCATTGTCGCGACTATCTTCATTTGATGTGAGGTGGATGATCTAATCCAGGGTGGAATTTCTGCCCTGTGTTTGGTGAATCGGGGTATTTTTTCGTCGATGATGTTCTCGAGCCATTTGTACCACTGTAACAGTAGGACGTCAATGTTGCTGTAGCAGTATGGTGTAAATGGCTGGCTGACGATTTGTTTGTTGAAATCATCCCAGTCGGTTTTCTGGTATGCGCTTTTAATAGCTGGGGTTGTTAATTTGCTCGAAGTTGGTAGGGACAAATAAGTTTTGTATGCGTGATGATCGGAACACTTTTTTCCGTTTGATGAGTATTGTGCTTCTAGTGCTGAGTCGGTAGCCGAACTTAGCACAAGAGTCGGGTCAGTGGCAAGGAATACATCGAGGCTCCTGCCTTCGTGGCACGTGATTAGCTGATGTAGATCGTACTTTTCTAGAGTGTCCAGTATGTTGGCTTCGTATTCGTCGTTTGAGTTTAGGCTGTCCCAGTTTGCTTCTGCAAGATTTATATCTCCGGTTAGGATGAGTTGCGATGAGTTGTCACTAAGCGAGTCATGAAGCTGTTTTAAGACGTCTTTTATGTTGTCGGGAGATGCTCTATACGGGCTGTTTTTGGGGGGATTGTAGAAGCAGCAGATTACTATCTGCTTCTGACGAGATTTGATTTCGATGGCAGCACATTCTAGTTCGGTTTTGAGTTCTATTCTGCTATGAGTTAAACCTTTCACTGCAATGAGGACTCCGCCGTGCTTAGTGTTCTGACCCGTATTGGGTCGATCTGTTCTGTGTATTGTGTAGTTTGATAGAAAGAGGGCCTCGTCTGGTACTGCAGTTGTGAGCCATGTTTCAGTTAGACAGATGATGTCGTAGTCGTTTGCGTTTGTAAGAACTGCATTTGCCAATGTCATGCGTCTACTAATGTCTAGCAGGCTCGTGACATTGAAGTTTAGAATACTGAGCGAACTTTTAGTATGTAGTCATTGTTCTGGTTCTGGCGGAACTTTTTCCCAGTTGTCTAGATTCTTGTCGTCAGTTTCGTTTGTGTTTTGTTGAAGCTTGAGGTTTCTGATTCGTAGACGCTTTTTGTCGTATTCGTTTTCGATCATCTTTCGGCGTAGTTTCAAAGCATCGTTTTCAATTTTTTGGTCTTCAGGGGATAGTTCCTTGCTCATATATACTTGTTTAGAGTAAGTTTTTAATTTGTATAGCGATAGCAGTATCAGTCGTCGATGGTGTTCGCTGGTTGTTTTGATTATGAGTGTTCTGTCTTTTTTGCCATCGTAGTTTCCCAATCGCCTTACATCATCGATCGGACAGTCGATTTTTAGGAATTCCAGAATACTTTTAACTTCCTTCACGTCGTGTTCGTACCGTTCTCTTGGCGATTTGGCCTTCGATTCTGCAATGCCTCGCACCCGTAATCCGTCGTAGTTTTCTTTTTTCTTCTGGGTTTTTGGTTCTGATGTTTTTGTTGTTCTGCTGGTGGTGAGTTCACTGTCAGGTCGTGGAGCCATCTCGGTTCTCAGGGAAGTTATCTGGTCCTTTATACCTTCGACGTTACCGATGTTACTTGTCAGGGATTGGAGCTAATTTTTGACTTCTTCAACGCTCTCCACTATTGGCTTTATGTCGTTGTTTTCTCTGGTGGATGCAAGTTTGTCCAGCATGCGGTCCCTATGGTTTAGGCGGACACACGCGTTGCAGATAAGTAGGAGGTTTTGGCTGACCTCACTTATCCCGAAGATTGCTCGTTCACTCATTTCGGTGCAATTAGGATTCAAGTGCATTGAGTCTCCGCATGAGACACATAGAAACACGACATCCCGTGCCGTTATGGGTATTGTGCATGTTTTGCAGCAGTTTTTCGGTTTTGATGGCGCCATTGTGGAATGTATTGGGGAAGTGGAATGTGTTGGAATAGAAAAGGAATAGAAAAGAGACCCTTATCTCCTGCGCTTCGTAAGAAACTTAATTCCTACGATGCACTAGGGGTAAAGGCCTTGTTTGCAAAACGTGAGCTCCCACTATCCCGCGCTTTCCAAGAAACTTAATTCCCAAGAATGCACTGAGATTGTTGGAACACAGGTTGGAATTGACAAACCGAAGTTGAAATTACCCGCACTTCTTAAGAAAACTGAATTCCTATAGATGTAC